GTCGATTCCGATCCTTCCTGTTTGCAGCATGTTATTCTTCGACCGGGCGGCTTTTTCTTTCTGTGGGTTTTTTGTCCAGGATGGTGTAGGATTGGTCTTTGGGACCCTTACGGTGTTTTCCTGAAGCTTTAGCAGAAACTCTGACCCCTACAAGTATTTGCATCTCACAGTGCAGTTCGGGCGGCCAGGCCAGCGAATTCCTCAACAGCAGGCTCCTCATCGCTGCGACGAACTTCACCAAGCAGCTCATTCTGCAGCATCGACCCGAAACCTTATTTGGCTGCCATCTGTCTGGAACATGGGGGTACAAAAAGGGGCCTTAATAATTAGAATAGGGTACCTCCGTTAAGGGTTCCTGAATATTTAAAGGGGTTACTATAAGGGTTTAATGTAGGAGCCTTTAATCATCCTTCATGCCTGAAGCAATGATTTATTTAGCATCTTCGAGCATTGCAAACAAGTTTCGAGGGCAGGCCCAAAACGCCAAACACTACGCGATACACCCGATATGTGAAAACAAGCCTGTATAGCCCTCTGTACATATGTAAATCCTTGCAGAACTCCAGAACCCTTGCCTTAATTAAAGTATCCGTTTACTGAGAACCCCTGCAGAACAGAGCCCTGCAAGCCCTGAGCCAAATCAACTCGGCAGCAAGTCCCATCTTGCAAAGCCCGCGAACTCCGGACGTTGTTCGCTTCTTTTTTGGCTTAGGTTTTGGGGTTGAGAGTTTACATAGAGGCTCCATTGTAGTTCCTTCTTGCGGTTTATGTTTAGGACCCTATAAGGTAATTCCCAAAAGGAACTACACTGGAGCCTTCAGGTAGAGCTTTATGCTTTTCGCGGTTTGGGGGTAATGTATGGGCCAAGTAGTTACCAATACTATTTTGGGGCTTCGTGAGTATACGTAGTTTAATGGGCCTCCAAAGCCCTATTCCAATTATTAAGGCCCCTATATTACTCCATGTGAAGATCTTGGGTTCAGGCTTTAGCGTTGAGGGTGTAGATTTTGGGTTCAAGGAGTGCGGTTTCTGGTTTTTTAAGTAGCACAGGGCATGGACGGTACAGTGGTTCAAGTTGCCGCCTTAAATAGCACCAGAATCCCAAAATGTCTCAGTTGCGAGTGCTGGAACCCTAAGCCCACAATCACAAGCCCTCGGCCCAATTGGGATGTATTCTGAAGCCTTTCCGAACCTGGAGCACCACAGCTTTCATTGACCCATGAGGTGGTTCGAGAAGATGCGTAAACTTGCCGATGAGTTCGAGGAGAGGTTGTTAGAGTTTGATGCAGAGTGTTTGGGCTCGTAGGTACCCTACTCGCTGTATATGAGTGTTTAATAATGGAGGACTAAGTAAAAAAACGGACGGGGCAATAGACTGTATTGGGCTCAAGGGCTTTTCCCCAAGCGCCGGAAGCTGTCCACAGGATTTCGTGGCCAAGCAGCGTATGATGCGAGGCGCGTGGATTGCCAACATTATTCGCGTGTACATATATTATATATGCAGGTATGCGTGCATTTATGTATATACACATGTATGCATATGATGCATGTTATGTACATTCTTTCAGGTACCATCCAGAGGGCTTCGATATCTTGGCGCTGGCTTCCTAGCCCTAGGCTTGTCAAGGGTTGCTTAATGCAGAAGCGTTAATAATTAGAACAGGTTTGTGGAGCTCCTTATTATGATTATAGTAGAATATACCACAAAACCCTACTCTAATTACTAAGGCCCCTACATTAGGTTGTGTGTTCCCTCTTCCAAACTGAAGTTGTCTTAGGATCCGGAAGGTTTCCGACTTTGCAACAGGTTGGAGGGTTTCGGGTTGTTTGCTTCCTTTCGTTTCAGGGTGCCGAAATAGGGTTTAAGGTTTAACACCGATAGCCAAAAGTTAAAATTTGAAGCGGCCAGATATCTGGTTTAGGGTTTTTAAGGGTGCGGCCACAATAATCAGTAATGTCTGTGATATGCTATACATGTATCCTGACAGTTGAACCTGATTTGGAAGGTCTGCCAATTCATGATAGTATCTCCGAAGAGCCCTTACGATAGACGTACTATAAAATTCTCCCAAAAGACCTATTCCTAATAAAGAGGCCCTACATGAGGTTTAGGGAATACCAGGACCCCCAAGCTACCCATGATAGAGCCTTGTGATCGGACCATAGTGAAAAGTGGTTGTGGGCTTTGGAAAGACCTAGGCCCTATCTGAGCTCTGAGCCTCCAGCGCTTATCCTTAGTGCTTTTAGGGTTTTAGGGCTTTCAGGGGTCCAAATAACTAGCAACCCTATCCCTCTATCACCCCTTTGTTATGTCACTGTGCACACGGTCGTAAAGTTTCCGAGTTTGCAGTTGCCTTCCCCGGTGTCGATTCAAGCTCCCTTGCAGGGCTAGGGCTGAAGGCTAGTCCAGGAAGCTGTAATCCTAATCCCATATTCCCTTATATTTCCTGCATGTTCGAAGGATAGCATCCCCAAAAAAAACATTTTCTAGTGATTGATGCTGGTATATTTCTTGGTTGGGCTTCGGATTTGTATTCGGTGTTCCACAGTAAAGGATCATTTGCGCATTACCCTTGCCACGTATAGCTTCCACACCTGTTGCCTCCGCCACGAGGTGCAGTGTCTGCAATATCTGCACACACCCGAAGTCCAATCCCCAGACCTGCCCCTACGAACATCGCAAGCATGTGGCAGCAAACATGGAGCTTGCACGACGACATGCATGCAGATAGCGCCAAGTACCAGCCCGCAGCGCATTCACCGTTGCACTTTCCAGCGCAACCCCTTCGAATGTCCTTACTACGGACAAGTGTTCTCCTCCCTCTATCGCCCCAATTCAAGTAGTTATATACAAGTCGAGAGCTCAGCATTCTCTTCTCGGAGCTTGGCTAGGGCCATGAATCCCTTGGCTACTGCAGACAGCCTGAACTCCTAAATCTGACAAACTAGGTCCGCGGCGCTTAGGTGTACGTGCTTTTTTGGGCTAGGCGAATAACTTTCAAGGTTAGAAACATGCTGAATGTAGTGCTTTTTGCGAGGATTTAGACCAGGTTCTCGAACGAGTAGTGTAGAAGCAGCACTACTAAGGGGGAAACAGGCAAAATCGTGGTTTCGCCTAGGGAATTCGTCTATTTTCAGCTTGTTCAGAATGCCTGAAACTACTTTGCGTGGACACGAAGATGCCCTCTTTTCTCGAGCTCGTCGGAGTTCTGGTTCTCGAGAGATGCATGCGCGTTGCGCGGAAAAAGCATCGGATCAACTTCCTGAGATTCGAGAGATGCATGCGAGTTGCGCGGAAAAGCAAAAGGCGGAGGTCAGCGACATTGCTCAGCCGCAGCACCAGCACGACATACAACAAGAGGGCCAGCCACTTCATCGAGCCCGCTCTGTGGACGTGGCACAAATGAACGTTATCAGCCCCCCCCCCCCCTGCATGACTCGCACAGGCAACCCCCACAACAACTCGGAAGCACAGCGCACAGCAAACCCCCTGAAGAAACCTCCGGAAGAAGTCTGAAGCACAGGAAACCTCGTGTAAAGATGCGCGCCGCGCTCCAACTACTCAACCCTAAGACCTAAATCCAATGACCTTAGCACTAGAACCCTGAACTCCTTAACCCTGAAGCCCGAAAACCAGTCCCTTTCGAATATAAGAGGCAAAGAAACCCCAACCTGGTCTCCGCCCGACAGGTGCGCCGGACCGAATGCTGGCCAGGGATCGTTTCTTACTCCATTCTCGCCTGCGGAAAGAGCACTTCGGTCCGATTTAGGGCACATCACATTGCTTGTGTAACCTTGCTTAACCCTAGCGCCCCTAGAGTCTGACCGTGAACATCAACCGAGCCTCCGGCAGTACCGGCAGTTGAGAAGTACTTAGGGATCCTTTGTTGGGGGTACACACGGCCTTTGTCTCTATGGATCTCCGATTTCCTGCCGTTCCCATGTATCCCTAAACCCGACAGAGTTGCGAGAGCATAAACCCTAAACCCCAAACCCTAAACCAACCCTAAACCCAAACCCTAAAACCTAAACCCTAAACCCAAACCCGAAACCCTTGATCATTATAGTTTCAGCGAATGCTCGCGGAGCCGTTCAAATCTCGAAGCCGACACCCTGAACCTGACTGCCATTAGGGCCTGAGTCGCACCTTGAGTTCTTAAACATAATATATAGGGGCCGTAATAATTGGAATAGGGTTTTGGGTCCCATTCTACTATATCTATAATAAGAAACCCCCCCCAAAATATGATAGGTAAATATTAAGGCCCTTACATTACACTTCCGGGACTTAGTGAGAATATGGTTTTTGGCTGTCTCAGCTTCGATCAAGGTCGAAGTCTATGGTTTTGCTTCAGAAGGATGCACTCCAAAACTTCAACCCTAAACCCCAAAACCCGGCACATCAGCTGGGCGGGTGGGAAAAAACCCGGCACCCCCAAACCCTAAAACCCTAAACACCAAAACCTCAACCCCTCTAAGCCCCTTACTTCGAGATTCTGGGCCTGGCCTGAATAGAAAACGGGCAGGGGCCCTGACTAAGTACTTGTGCGGCTCGTTAGGATTCCTTGAATATTCGCTAGGCAACTGCAAGGCCCTCTTAAGTATGAAGGCCATTTGTGTTAGGGTCGAAGTATAGAGGCCACTCACTGTCTGAGGGTCTATTCCTGCCTACTTTGGGCTAAACTTGTGTTGACGTCGACTTCTTCTCGAGTGATTTCGAGGACCTCAACAAGAATGCACGAAATCCGGGAGGCCTTGAAAAAGCAGGCAAGGTCGGGCTTGGGGGCTCAGAACTTAAGGGTTTGGAGGTTGGCTGTTTAGAGTCTCGAATTGCTTTACACTTTCCACGCCTGGTCCGGTGTCGAGCGTTTCATACGGTCCCTAAACCCTGAACCCTGAACCGTACAATGGCCTAACTTCTAGAAGCTCCCGCTGCTCTGCGGATGTCCTTGGGAACCCAGAGGCCTCTGGACGTTGTCATGCAAGTGAACAGAATTAGGGTCTACAAGTTGTTGTGGGGGTTCCGAGTTTAGAGCTTCAGGTGTTCAGGGCTTGGGGTCGAGTAGGGCTTCGATTCTTAGGGCTTAGAGCTTAGTGGTGTGGAGCTGAGGACTTGGGGCTGTGGGCCTGAGGGCTCGGCAAGTTGAGGTGTGGGATGAGACTAATAAAGCCCTCAAAGCCCTATTCCAATCAGCAAGTCCCCTATATACCAGGGAGGCACTAGAGTCCAGAGAGCCAATAGACAGCGGTTGGAGAGTGCTTGTTCAGCCTTTTAGTTCAAGTCACCGGGATAGGCCTCAGCCAAGTATTTACTATGATTGGGTTTAGGGTTTAGGGTTTATAAAGTCCCTTGACAAGAACCTCCGTCGTTGTCATTTTGCATGTCCAAGATCCTCCTGCAGAACGTTCAAGAGCCGAGAACGAAGCTATTCGCCTTCCGTGGAAAGGAGAGATAAGACATGGGCCTGGGCAGTTAGAATCAGGTTTGGGGGTATACACTCCGTACTCTCTCTCTCTCTATACATATATATATATATATATATATGTTTATCTGTACATTCATATACATATAGATAGAAGTAAGAACAGTGTATAAATAAATAGAGATATATATATATATATATATGTAATGAAATCTGTTGTTTCGGCGTTGAAAGGCAAGAACCCTTCGAGGTGCAGGTTTTGAAGCTTAAGCCCTAAACTCCTCAACCCGTATCCCCTCACCCCCTAAACCCTAAACCCTAAACCCTAGACCCTAAACCGCGCTCTACGAGGCGACCTCCAATCACAACCGGCGTCTCGATGCCCAAGTGGAGCTGAGGCGGCTGCGGGTTTCGGGTAGGGCTTTAGGGGCTTCAGGTTTAGAGTTGGGGCTTCTACGTCCAAGCTTTAGGGTTTAGCTAGGGTTGTAGGGGTTTAGGGTTTAGGGCTTTAGGATTTAATTGGGGCTGTAGGGGTTAAGGGTTTAGGGCTTTAGGGTTTAATTAGTGTTGCAGGGTTTCGGGCTGAGGCTGTGCGAGGTTTCCTTGGGTCGCTGCACAGGATATGAAGGCTTAGTCCTCAAGCTGTTCTAGAGTTCCGCGGTATGGGGCTATCTAAGCAATGCAGTCTCTGGAGGCTCTGCGTTGAACCCTAAAATAAAATCACGCAGCCTTACGACCACATACAAAAGCCTGAGGAGTCACGGACCTTCTTCCTTAATTAGGGTTCCTGATTGTCTTTAGATAGTGTAAGATACCCCCTAACCCTAAACCCCTAATCCCTCAACCCCGAAACCCTAAACCCCTAAACCCAAAATCCCTAAACCCTACGCAATGAAGGCCCCCATATTCGAGGACCCTTCGCCCCGAAGCTCTGGTTCTTCGCCGGAACCTTTCGGGTTCCCAACTCGAAGTCCGAAATCTCGAAAATTGACCAAAACCCTCACCTGGGGGGGTACCTGATTTTGGGGTCCGTATAATATGGATCCTACTAAAAGGGGGTACTTTACTAGGGTCCCCCAATTTCCGGCAACCCCCACACTTCAATCCCGAAACCCCCAGCCTTCTAGGCCTGAACATTCGAGCTTAGTTCCTCTAAACCCGTGAACACATTTATACGCACCCTGGAGAACCTGACATGCGGTCGTCCACAAGAACTTGCAGAACCCCTATGAACCCAAGAATTGATGTAGAACCCCTCTAGGACACATATAGAACCCCGTAGAATTGTGGAACCCCTCCAAACGAACTGCTCCAGTGGCAGCAGGTTGAGTGACAGGCAGGACATGGAAACGGACGAGAGCGCCTGGCTCAGGGATAAATTGCACAAGCCCCTACATGTAGGTCTACTCCCTAAAGTTTGATATAACAAGAGTTCAATGGGAGCCACCAGCAAGGAATCCCATCACGGAAGTTATCCCTAATGCCAGCGCCCATGTCGGAGCCACGTGAACACGAGATCTGACGTACTCGAAGTCGTAATCTGCAGGTACATGGGTTTAGCGCTGAAGGGGCCTCGGGCCTAGGAGAAGTTGGGGTTCACTTTGATTTGGTTGAGCTGCGAAGCCAGCCTTAAACCCTAAACCCGGCTAGTCATCACCCAGAATTCCCAGCACTTCTGTGAGCAAGAAGTGCAATCAGAAGCCCCTCACCCCGAAGCCTCCTCCTCGCGATTTCAAGATCTCACTTTAGGGTTTAGTGATTACATTGGCCGGGCGAGCTCCAGTCAAGCCTGTGTAAAAAGGGTTTGGAGATCATTTAGCATGAGTCTGAGATGTTTGGGAAGGTTTGGGGCTTATCCTCAAACCACTATACTGAACCTGCCGATTCTCTTATGGAGCATCCTGGGAGGAGTGCGAGGATGTTTTTTTTAGAACGCTGTGAAGGCTAAGTCCAATCGAAAGCTGGTGAACTCGACTAAAGCCTACAACACTTGTCTGCACAAATGAGGCCTTTCGGAACCGAGCTTTCTAGAACCACAGGCTATTGTTCAAAGTAGTTGCTACCTCTTTTTTGATTCCGCAACATATTAATTTAAAGGTCCTAAAGCAAGGAGTGCTTGAAGGTATAAGCACCTCTCACTCCAGAACCCTAAACCCTTGCAGGCGCCCTTACAGTAACCCTTATGGCAGCCCTTATTGTAGCTCCTATAGACCCCTTTCAACATTGAAAACCCTTAACCCTAAACTTCCTAAATGTCATCTGGCTGAGTCCGAGTTGCGAAAGCGTAAACTTCCTAGTCAGAGCCTAAACCTGAAACTTCCTGAGCTCTAAAGCCCAAAAGCTAGAGCCTATCCCCTGGAGTCCTACAGTTAGAGCCTAAACCCTAAACCCTAAAGTTAGGGCCTAAACCCTTTAACATCGCCTGCGTTGCCTGCTCTAGGTGCGGCTTTCGAGCATCACAAGCGCTCGCGGAAGCGAATCTCGGCCCAGAAATGGAGGGCTCCGGGTTCTGTAATGGGGGGCACCTTTAAAGAGTTCCATAGAGGGTTCTATACGGGCTACTAGAAGGGGGGTATATAGGGGCCTTAAGGATTAGGATAGGGATTTGGGGTTTTGTTTATCAAGGGTCTCTCAGTGCTCGTGTGGTTCGGATGCGGAAATCGCGGGGCTCCGTTCAGGGATCAGGCTTTAGGGAGGGGTCCCAGAGACTCTCAAAAAACTCCATAATGTGTAGGGTTGATAGAACTTGGGGAGTGGAGGGTTTAGAGTTCCGGCTTAGCTGATGTTTAGGCTTTATCGAGCTGGGGACTATCTTAGGTTTCAGGATGTATAGGGTTTGGGGTTTAAGGGCGTTGTAGGGTATAGGGCAGTTAAGGGGGGGGTTTTGGGCTCATAAAGTTTATAGGGCTGAGGGATTGTAGGGTTTAGGGATGTTGAGGACTTATAGGTCTTATATACGGTTTATAATGTTAAGGGTTTGTAGAAGTTAAGGCTTATTGAAATTAGGGTTTAAGTATATAGGACCATATACTCCGTGACTAGAATATGAATGGGACCAACTGGAGGTTCTGAGGTCGGAGCTGTTAGTTAACCGGCATGTGTGTTATTGGGATTTGGTCCTAGGGTTGCTCCTTTCAGCCAGTCAGCGCGATTGAGACATCTGGGTAGTGTGAAGAGTCCGGCCGAAAATGCAAAAAGCCTCTAATAACCCGGGTGTTGACCAGTCTTTCAGCCCTCATGGAACTCATGGCACGAAGTACACCTGCCTTTCTAGACAAGCATGGCTTTGAAGCCCTCGGCTGCTTGCGTCCGCAAGGAAAAACCACCGGCGACGTATCCACTGCCCGCCGTTCCTCTCTGGCGAGCAAGAGGAGCAGTCGGGCTCTTGGCTATGTTTCGGGGTTCGGGTCCCCAACTAGCTACTGCTGCTGCTGCTGCTACTGCTGCTGCTGCTGCTGCTGCTGCTGCTGCTGCCGCGGCTGCTGCTGCTGCCGCGGCTGCTGCGGCTGCTGCTGCTGCTGCTGCTGCTGCGGCTGCTGCTGCTGCTGCTGCTGCTGCTGCTGCTGCTGCTGCTGCTGCTGCTGCTGCTGCTGCTGCTCCTCCTCCTGCTACTACTACTACTACTACTATTATTATTACTACTACTACTACTACTACTACGACGACGACAGCGAGGACGACGACGACGACTACTTCTACTACTACTACTACTACGACGACGACGACGACGACTACTTACTACTACAACTATGACGACGACGACAGCGAGGACGACGACAACGACTACTTCTACTTCTACTTCTATTTCTACTTTTACTTATTACTACTACTATTATTATTATTACTACTACTACAACTACAACAACAACAACAACAACAACAACACCACCTACTACTACTACTACTACTACTACTACTAGTACTACTAGTACTACTAGTACTACTAGTACTACTAGTACTAGTATTAGTACTA